CAAACGGCTTTTTCAAGAAAATAACTGACCAAGGCGTGATACGAATTGATAAATACACAGCGGAAGACGACTAATGAATGGAATGGAACACATGACAAGCCAAAAGGAAAAGGAAAGGAAAAAATAGCTCCGACTACAGCCCATTCGTCACTCTCAGGCTCCGCTTTACTATTCTTCTTCTGTTTTCTTCATTCTTATTCTTTTGTCCGGTCCGAAAGGTCCTTCAGGAACTCAGTGTAGAGTCCTTTCTATCAACTTTTCATTCAGTTTCTCACGATTCCGGGTGAAATTCGTCCAATTTTTACAGCTCTTCCTTTGCCGTGTTTCAAATGACTAGAAGCTCGAATTTTGAGTTTCAATGTCTTTCTTAAATTTTCAAGGAAGATTTTGAATTCTAGAAGTAGATCAAGGAGTCATCATTTACCTTTTCCAGCCAGTATGACTTCTCAAAGCTCAGACATAACTTTTAAAAAAATAATTTTAAATTTTTCAGAAAAAAAGACGTTTCAGCCCTTTCGTTTTTCATTTATAATCTGTCTAACTTTTTTTCTAATTTTTCCTTGATAACCCACGATTTTCCATATTTCAGCTATATATCCTACCAAACTTCTTTTAACAAACTCCATTCAAAGTTAATCTCTTTCTGCTTATTTACAGCTCGAAAAGATTTTAAAATATCTCTAGTCAAAAAGTTACCCTATCGTAGGACCTCAACATAATCCGTCGAATAATCCTCGTTCAGGTCTCCCACAGGCCTTTTTTGACTATTAACATATTATCTCACGTCACTGTACGAATGACGTTTCCCGATGACCACCGCGGATTATTTTTGGGAAGAGCTAAAAAAGTTGAAAAAGCAAAAGCTTGTGAAATTGGTTGAAAAGGACTCTAAACTAAAATGGGTGAAAATCTAGAGTTTCAGCTATAAATCGGACTTCATTCGAATTATGCTATTTCTCAACCTTAATAAAAAGCCTGTTTAAATTATTAACCATTTAAAATTCGCTTTTTTTAGCCAAGTTGAGCTTTGGAGGAAGCTTGAAGTAAGATTAAAAAAGCGAGGCTTGAATTTCTCGAGTTATAATTTCAGAGAAGTCGATCAAACCTTTGATATATCTGAAATTTCCTAGCTTTCCTGTCTGAAAAGATTCGTTCAGATGTTTCCATTCTACCGAAAAACAAGGTCTGTTTTAAATTCAATGCTTAAATAGAACTTTCGGAAATTTTTATTGAGCCCACAGAATTAATTTACTAGGAAAATTTTTGGTGGCCACTATAAGGTTTCGACGTTTTAGTGGCCACTATAATAGTCAAATTAGTGGCCACTTAAGTGGTTGAAAATTAGAGGCCACTATATAGGTCTAAGTGCTACTACTAGACCATTAAAAATTTTAGTGGCCACTTTAGGGGCCATTGGATCAATATGACTGGTCCAATCTGTTTGTTTTAATATTATCAGAGTTACTGGAAGGGATAATGGATGAAAACTACTAAAGTGGCCACTAAATAGAGGACCTCTATAGTGGCCACTAAAAATTTTCCAAGTAGATTCTTTTTTCACTTCATTTTTGACCTCTCCCTCATCTTTCCTACGGAAACCTTATCCAAAAATAAAATCTTTCCGTCTAGTCACGATTTACGTCACGTTTTCCAAATGATTCAGTCCATTCCTATCAAAAAAAAACCATTGTCAATGGTCAATTTTATGCAGAGAGGACACGTCATGCCTGGCATGGGAAAGTTGGCGGAAAAATAAAAAGGTGCAGGGAAAGATCAACGGAGGCGTCTACCCAGATACGGTAACCTCGTTGTTTTTGCTGTGGAAAGATCGTTCCGAGACCAGGGCGACTATAAAAGCGCCGGAATCGGCTCAGAGAGTCATTCTTGCCAACTTTCCAGGGCCTCGACTACTGAATGGACCTCAAGATTTTTTTGGGATCGTCAAAAATTCTGATAAACTTGGGAGTCGTTCGAGTATCGAATTTTTTAAAATTTTTCCAAGATTTTTTTTCGTATCTTTTTTTTTCGAAACTTGACTTGGTCTATGAATTTTGAGAACTTCTGATAAACTTGGGAAAGGCTCGTAACTTTAAACTTTTCTAAAAAAAAAATCCAATCTTACACTTTTTTTGAAATTTTTATTTGTTTTATGGGACCTGACGATTATCTGAAAAAAATCAAGTTGAAATTGAAAAAGTTCAACAGAAACATTGAAGTTGTTATTAACTTATTTTTTTGTTGATTTTTCATCAAGTAAACTTCAAAATAAGTTGAAAAAAAGGCCGAAAACGTTTTTCAAATCTTCTCAAAATACACATTTCATTTTCTTCAAACTTATTTTGGCTTCTCTCCCGTATGAAAAATACTAAAGGTAATACCAAATATCTCACTGAAAGTTTTCCATTTTTTTCAAAAAGTTCAATTTTCAGAGTACCCAATTAATCGACCATACAGCGGACGACGTCGCTGAAGCGATGTCGCGAGAACTTTTTTCGTGAAATCATCACAATTTATCATCTTTTTTTCAAATGTTCTGTGTTTTTTTCGGGTTTATGATCAAGAAAGACAGAGGAAAAAGAAAAAAAAAATCTGAAATTCTGGATTTTCAAAAATCCTGCAGGTCATATTGAATTTTACAAACTAGGGTGAAAACCCGGAATTCTTCATAAATCCTTTCGGATATCTTTTTGAATAGATTTCCCTGTTCCGAACTTTTCAAACTCCCAAAAAATTCCTGCAAAGAGTTTCCAACAAGTTCAATTATTATTCCCAACGACCTCTGTGTTTCGTTCCATTCAATTCAACTATTTCAACTCCGAAAAAAGTCTTTTGTGTCCTATAAATTGGTCAAAAAGGTAGAAGGGCCTTTCCCCTTTGATTTTCTTTTTGAATCCGTCCAAAAAATGGGAAATTTTTTTCAGTCGTTCACTTGATCTCAAAATATCCCTTTTCGGATCCTCTTTCAGTTACTCTTCGGCAGAGGGATCACTCAATGTTCTTTTGATATTTGAAAATGACGTCACTTTTTATTAATGTGGAATGGTTGAAAATGACGTCATTAAAAGTGTGGGTTGAGGATCGAAAAATGACATTATTATTGACTAATTTAGAAGATCGCCAATGTCGTCACTAATATATCTTTTTCACGTCGTTCACAGTCCATTTTCGAGTTGATAAAAAGAAATTTATTATCCCCTTTTGAATTAAAAAGGATGACATAAATCTCTCATGTCAAGCAAATTAAAAAATACTATTCTTTCCACTTCAAACTAACCCCAAAAAGCCACATGTGTCCCGAATTCATTATTTTTCGGAAAGGTTCGAAACACGTGGGAAAATGTACTGATTGGGATCATGAGGCGATAATCTGGTGATTATAATCTCAAAACAAATGAAATCTTTTTGTTATTTTCAATCCATTTTCACGCCGATAAATTTTCATCCCAATACTTCGCATCCACAATATGACTAACCGGATTTCCGAAAAAAGGTCTTGTTTTGAACTTTAAAAACCCATGCAAACAAATTTTCTCCAGACTAACAATTCTCTTTCAAAGATCTCTCTCCAAAACTCAAACACGCCCATAAACCGGATTACAAAAAACTGAAAAACTTCCGATTCTCTCTTTCCTATGACTAAGAGAAACGTGCAAAAAATTACAGTAACCCATTTTAATTCCGTTCAAAACCCGCCTCTTCATTTGCCAACAATAAAACTCCCGTTTTCTCTCGAAATATGACGGTTTCAATCTGATATCTACAGTATTCCCCAAAAGATTCGTCAGAGCCGAACTTTTTTTGAAATAATCAAGAAATAAACATTTCTTTGTTTCATAAGTTATTCGAAATCAATTTTTCTCTAGCCAATACAAACATAGCCCAAAACATTTTTTCCTAGAAATTTCTACAGCATCCTTCTACAGCAGGCCATTGTCGATCTGTTCGGGACTTGAATAGTTAAACACTAAGCCTTATTTTCCATTCAGACTCCCGTTTAATATTTCCAAGCCCTTTATAAAAATCTCATTTCACTCCAAAATCCACAGTAACCCCTCTCCAATCCATCCCAAACTCCAATTTCCAAGAATGATCCTCACTTTCCTTTTTTCTTTTTTATCATTCATTGTCCGATTTTTTTTCTCTCTCTATCATATTAAGAAATTAAGAGGGAGTGACTCGAACAATGAAAAATGAAAAAAGGAAAAACAATCCAAAAAGTTCAAATTGTGTGACTCGAACAGGTTGATTGAGACGTCACAAAAACAGTTGATTAATTGAGTGTTCCGAACATATATTTTTATATTTCTTTTTTTTTTTTTCGTTATCAGTTTATCAACTTTATGATGAGGGTTTTTTTCCATTGTCTTTTTTGTTTCTCAGGTGTTTCCCTCACTGTATAACAAAGATCTAAAGAAGCTGTATAGCAAAAAAAAAAACTTCCGTTCAGTTCTATTTGGATATTTTCAATTTTATGAGCATTGGATAGAATGTAAAATCCCCTGGTGTCAGTAGAAAGGTCTTAGGTTCAATTCTTCCACGGAAAATTCAAGTTTTTTGCCGATTATTCGTTGAAAAATGGTCCGTTCTCTCATAGCGCTCTCGGTATAGCATAGCTCAATCAATACGAAGTGAGATTATCAACCTCAAAGGATCTGGTTCTATTCCTCAGCTACTTTTTTGCCATTATTCTTTTCGACTTTTTAAGTATCTTTCTTGTGATCCGCCCGGTTCAATTTTCCATTTTTTGACATTCTTTGAAGCTAAACTATTTTATCAACCATTATCTACTTCTGAGGCAATCAACCAGTTCTTCAGAAGCTCTAAGCTCAACCGACAGGCAGTTAGCTCATCGCTCCAAAGGTCACGAGTTCAATCCTCTCCTCGTTTTTGCCATTTCTCTCCACTAGTTTCTAACTTTTTTTTTCTTCAAGTTTCGCGCTACTCTATGTTAAAATTTCACGGCGTTTTTTAAAAATATTCTTTTCAGTTCTCAAAAAAAAATGAAGCCTGAAGGGACGTCTTGGAACGTGGTCTACCTGGTCGGCCTATTCTCCTTGATTCAGAATACTCAGTACTCAATCTACCTCACAACACTATTCTCCTACATGTTAAAGGTTTTCTAAAATCGATTTTCATGACTTGAAACGGCGTTGCGAGGTGTTGAAGTTTGCTATATGTTTTGGGCTCCCGACCAGAAACTACTTGCGCTTGACGGCATTGCCTAGCATAGGAGGGAAATAGTGGAAAGTTGGGCGCAGAGTGAAACGCAATGTTTTTTTGAGGCATTCCATGACTTCAAATTGTGAAAAAGCTTTTTGAAACAAAAAATGAGAAGATTTTCCAGTTGAATGACAAAGCAACAGAAGCGCATTTCGGTTGGGTGATGGCGACTTCGAGTTTGGGACATTGTGTCGGGTGTTTCGTCCTCGGTTATTGGAACAGTAGGACGGGGAAGGTTGATGGGAAACATAAACAAAATCTTAACTTATTTTTAAGGCAAAACCCTCACTTATCTGCGGATTCACCCTGATGCTGGCTTCAAACCTAATCTACATGACGATTGAATATCTGCCCCCGGCGGTTGTAGTCCACGCAATGATGATTTCCAGACTGCTCGGAGGTCTTGGAATGGGTGAGTTTCATGAGAAAGTTACAAACCTTCTGTGGCGGGCTAAAATGACTTGACTATATGTTCTTTTGATTCTTCATAGAGCGCAAATGAGCATTTCAAACGACTGTTCTTAACATTGAGAACAAAAATAAAAGAAAAAGCCGCTATTCAAGCTCTGAAAAATGAGCTTACAACTTTTTGAGACGTTCTTCAAACTCGCAAAAACAATATTTGAAAAAAATCAAAATCAATACGTAATGTTGAAAATTAGGATCCAACATATCAAAAAATACGAAAGTTCAGGAAACTCAACGCCGATGAGAGCCTGCGCCTCGTCCCACTCAACCTCTCAAGATCGACCCAAAGCGATGGCTTCCATTTCTGGCGGGAGATCCGTTGGAACTATCGTTGGGCCAGGTAAAACTCTATCTAGAATACCTGGGGAATTACCTGGTTATCCGAAAATTACTCTTTCACATGAACTTTTTTTAAATTTCGAAGCTCCAGAGAAGATTTTTCTGAAAGTTAGGAAAAATCAAACTGTTCTTTTTGGACCTTACAAAATACCCACTCATCGATTTACCTGTTCTCAATCAGTGATAAAAAACGAGTTTTGATTGTACCTTTGGTCCCGTTCTAAGTTACAATGTAGGCAATGGAAAAAAATCGAAGAATCCCATCTAAAAAAGAGTTTTATACGTTTTTTTTTTAGGTCTTCAACTGATGTTCCTGCCACTGGGCGAAATGGGCATTGCCGTGTTTCCAGGCCTCAGAATCCACTCAAACAACGCGCCGGCCGTTCTCGGCATCGTTCTGACCATTATTGGCTTCATCGGAATCTTCTTCTTTTTCGATGAAACCGTGGAAAACGTGGAGAGCGACAAGGTCGCCATCACCGAGTCCCAAAAGGTTTCCGAAATTCTATTGTTTATTCAAAAATTTCGGTGCAGTTTTCATTGCGAGACAAAAATACATGCTAATATAACGGAATTTTTGAGTCAAATTACATATTTTGAAATTATTTTTATACATTGTTTTTTTCTTTCCAGATCAGTGACGAATATCCGCAGCCAGACAAGCTTGCCATGTTCATCTGCATGTTGACCCGATTTATTCAGAACTTTACACAAATCGCCATTGAAACGTGAGTTAATATGAGCAAGATACAGTGTTATCAAAGAATCTCGTCTTTGAGAGACGCTTGGACCAACTTCACAAAACTTTCATAACGAAGAGCCTTTTTCCGTGTTGTTTTATTTTATTCAAGACTTCCTGCGCCTTTTAAACATTGCGACGAGAACTTTTTAAAAAATACAGGGTTCTGGAAAGCTAAAAATAATTTTTCTTATCAATCTTCTTTTTATACTAATAAATACTTTGAAACATCTATAGCTGATTCACGGCTGACTTGAGCCATCGAAAAATGGGTCCTGACACGATAAGAGTTGGCGTAGAGCGCAGTCAGGCCACGCCTCCTTAGTGTCCCAGCCGTGGATTGGCTATAACTTTTCATTCCCAATTCAAGTAATGGAAGTTGGAAAGAGAAAAGAACTAAATATTCCATGAAGGTTCTTACAAAACTTCCTACACGATTAGTCACTGGAAACCTTCAAAAAGCATGTTTCAGCCTCGCCCCGGCCATCCTCATGCTCATGTTCCACCAATCTCGAACTCAAGCCGTCGCCACCATGGCCACAACTTATCTCATCACGGGTCTCATCGCTACAGTCCTCTATTTGGCGATTATCTTCACCAAACTGTCAAAATAGTGAGTTATTATCCGAAAAAACTCTTGAAAAATAAAGGTCTAGAAGTTTTTGAAAAAAGGGTTTTCTATAAATTATAACGTTTCTAAGCTACTCCTTACAAACATCCTTAGAAAGGGTATTTCTCGAAAAATTGAGGCTCTTAGTGGATTTTACTGCAGTAACTTGTGCGTTGAATCCTCCTTGAAACTACAAAAAGCATAACTTTCCTCGGAGCTTGGAAATCGTCTGATTTCAGCGTCCGGGACCGTTCAAGCAACACGATAATCCTGCTTCTTTTCGTTGCGCATCTGCTCGCTACGTATCCGTGGCAATTCTACCAGAACGAAGTTTATGCCAAGAACAATGGTAAGCTTTTATGAGTGGATTTGGACCAAGAAAAATACAAAAAAACCTTTAAAAAAAATGTTCGGATGAGGTATCAATGGGAAGCTCTATTTTATTCATCCTTGTAGAACTATAAAACTTGAGCTTTTTAAAACCCTTTGAAACTTTATTTTTATCAGAAGGCGGAGCCAATCAGGTCATATTAAATTTTACAAACTACCTATTTTTCACTGAAAATCATGTTCACGCGACTGACCTTGCCAGAAAATAAGGTTGGAATGGGCAATTTTTGGAAGAAGAAAGGAGGGAATTGCGGGTTCCAGATCAGAAAATTAAGAAGTTGAAAATTACGCACTTCTTTCAGAAACCGGGATCGGATGCGATGTTGACCGGTTCTCCTGGTGCAGTGGTCTCACAGAGGCGCCACAATGGGTTCGTACAATTTTTAGCTTTTTACTCATAAAGTTAACATTGCTCCATGTGAAGAGAATTATTGAGAGATCAACCGAATTTCCTTAAAAGTAGTGCAAAAGGTTGGATTTTTCGCTTTTAAAACCGGATAAATGCCCAAAAAACATCCTGATATTTCAGAACGGAAGGTGATTTTATACTGATTTAAATCATTACAGGTCTTCTACATTGGCTACATCTTGTCTTATGGTGCATTTATGCCGTTTTTGAACGTCGCCAACGCCACTTTGTACTCAAAATTGCTGCATCCTGACCGTCAGGTTTGTGATTCCATGCAAACTGAGATAACTGGTTTTTTTGTTAGAATTCAGAGCAAAATCCTTTTTTTTCAATACAGCTGAAGCCTTATAAGAAAAAAAAACAGACGATAAAATCATTATGCTGATGAAAAAAGGCCAACAAATTCGAACATTTTCATGCAAAATCAATATTCCAAAAGCTTTTTTTAAAGCGATAAAAACATATTTAGTAGACAACTAATGCATTTAAAATATTGAAAATGAAGATCCAGTGGTTTTTCAGGGAACTGAACAAAGCCTTTACGACATTTCCAACACGGTTGCCCGCATTTTTGCTCCCTTGCTTATCACGTGAGTTTTCAAACTTTTTTATTTGAAAAATCATCAAAAACAAGAAAAAAAAAATCTTAAAAAAAAAAACGTCGTATGGGTTATTAGCTTCAGAGGGAAGCTCGAAGAAGATTCAAGAAAAAAAAATTGAAGGCTCGAAGTAAAGTCCAATGAACATGGAAAACAGAGTAGTTCTTCTAAAAAGGATGGAAACTCTAAAATTCATTCTAAACTGCGTTTTAAATTGAACGTAAGGCAAGGAGAACTCACAAGGGTAAAAAATGGCAATGAGTGGAAATTTCCTCAACCTCGCTATCATCGGAAGTACCCTCAAAAATGAACTTGAAGACCATTTTTTCAGTCTGATCTACACGATGTTCGGTCCTCGACGCGCTTGGGAGTTCATGGCGATCGGACTTTTGCTGACTTCCGCCCTTTGGATCATTTTCGACCGCCGTTTGGTCCCATTGAAACCAATCAATAATTCCTATTCCGATACCCAATCCACTCACAGTGGAAACTTTACGGAAGAGGAAGAAGAGCAGAAAAATAATGTCATGAAATTTTAACTTCATTTTCTTTAAATTTGTAAACTTAATATCCAAACCCCCGACTAATAATGCCTCAACGTTGCATTAACATTTGTACATAATATTGATTTGAAACAAGTTTGCTGGGTTCTTTAAAGGGTCATAGGCGAAACTCAAAAACTATTTTGGAGAGAAGAGCTGCGCCTTGCTCCCGACAAGCTACTCTCAACTGTCCCACGATCTCATAGTTTATTTGCTTCTTTCTTTCTTTTCATACTGTGATCACTCCTACGGGAATATTTGTCCTATGAATTCATGTTTTTTGTGTTATATGTTTTGATTTCTGAATAAATATTTATGAAAATAAAAATGAAGTGAAAAAAGACGCACCAAGTAACATGTATCAGGAGGAAACAGTCAATCAACTCCAAAATGAAAGCTTGAAGATTCCGAAAAAAATTCAACACGTGACTACTTCGAAAAGCAAACTTTCTGAATGAAAACAAGCGGTGCATTTTGACAATTTAAATATAACTTTGCAAAGGAAACAAGGTGCAAAACACGAATTTACACAATGTTTGATGAAAATCATAAATCTTTATTTTACGCCAATTTTCATGGGCTCACTTTTGAAAAATTTTCGAAAGCCACGAACTACAGCTTCAAAACAAAGAAAAAATCAAAATATTGGAACAAAAATTGCTCAAATATTGAAATAGCGAGAAGGCAGAAAAAAAGAAGAAAAAAAGGATAAAAAACTAGAAATGCGCGTCGAAAATGTGGTTAGTGTATACACTTGTCTCTGCGTACATTTCGATCACTGTAATCGTCGATCCAAAAATAGGCTTATTGTCCGTTTTTTTTATCTCTGTAATAAAGATGGAAAGAAGCGAAAAAGCGTGTTGCTTTTGTAATTGGAACTAATTTTGCCCAGCACGACCTCATGGAATTGGGAATTTGTATCATTTGATGCCTTTTTTCTCATATTAAACCTCTTCATAGTCTGCTTATTTAATGCTATTATCAACGGTTTTTCCTCTCTTTAATATGATATAATTGTTTGTGTAACCATTGGAAAAGGGTTGAACAAAACAAAAAAGAGAGAAACAAAATGCAAATCCCCTCTGGCGATCTAAAACTAACCATCGCCATGCTCGACTCATTTTTCTCGCTTTTTCACTTTTTCGCGTACTTTCGAACATGCTCTTTTAGTACAGTTTTGTTTCGTTTGAAACTTTTTTTTTAATATTATGAAAGACCGTTGATTATTTCGTACGGCGGAATGTTGTAGGGTTTTTTCACCATGCGAGTGATCGTGGAGAGTTCATGGCCAGTCGTTTTTCTGATGGGACTTTTTTCCCTGATTCAAAGTACTCAAACGACTATGTTCGTCGCTACAATGTATCCGTATATGAAGAAGGTGATTTTCTTTTCTTATTTGTAAGATAAATGATTGATAAAAAAAGGAATTCTACAAAACCAAATAAACTTGCGTTTCAAGCAATGTATGAAATAACTTTTCGAAGTTCGAAGGTATTTTGCCGTTTCCATTCGAGAAGTCTTTCAAATAGTAAAACGAACTTGAAAAAAATTAATAAACATTTAGTTTTTGAAATTTTTTTCAAATATTAAAAAGGATGGGAAAAAAAGTCTTTTGATATACTTTTTTTCAAAGCCTGAATCCTTTTCGAATCTCCCGGAATCTTTTTAGATTTATGTCGTTCGTTCAAGATTTCCTTTCAGTGAAGTTTAAAAATGAAGAAATTCTCATTCATTTTTTACCTAATCGTTGAATTTTGTCTGAGTTACTTTTACCTGCTTTTTTCATTTTTATGACCTCACCGACGAGGGAAAAGAGAGCGCAGACAAGTGAGGTCTTTTCAAAATGGAAAAAAGCTATTTTATTTCTGGTTCTACTTTAGCTCTCAAAAAAAAAATTTTCTGAGATTCTAAAAAGGATCATTTTTTCCCATCCCAGCTTCACGCCGAAGCAAGTGAGCACAATTTCGGAATAATTGTCACAACGGCTGGAATCGGACACTGTATCGGATGTGCGGCGCTCGGATATTGGAGTAGTGTTACGGATAAGGTCGAAAATCTAATCTTTGCCGGAAAATTACGAAACTTTTAGATGAAATGGCCAATGATGGTCGGATTTGTGCTTACATTGGCATCGAATTTTGTATATTTGATGTTGGAAATGGTTCCGCGAGGCGGTGTTTTTTATATTCTGGTGTTTGCCAGGTTCCTCGCTGGTCTTGGGTTAGGTTGGTTTGCATTTATTAGCTAGGAATAGTTGAAAGAATGGTAGCGAACTCACAGATCTTTTTGAGATTCATTAATGAACTTTTCTCTGACTCATAAAGTAAAAATACAGAGACAAAAAAAAATAGAATAACTTGTAAGTCAGAAAAGTTGCTTTCGAGAAATATTGATCAGTTACTTACATATTATACCCTAAGCCTATTTTTTAAAAATTTATTCGAAGATCAGTCTAACCCCTAATTTTCAATTAAAGTTTGAAAAAGGTATACCAAAAATTCGACATCGATTGAGTCTTGAAAAAATATAGATCAGACGTACTATTTTAAGGAAAATCGAGCAAAGATTTTTTACGGGCTTTGAGAGGTCATTTACAAGTTTTTTTTTGTCTACCTATCAAGGGTCATCAACAGGTAATACAACGACGATGAGGACTTGCGCCGTGGCGAGTTCCTCCTCCGACGACAGATCTAAAGCGATGGCCGTTGTGGCCGGAGGAAGGGCTCTGGGTGTCGTTGTGGGGCCTGGTGAGTTTGGGAGGATTCGGACAGAAAAATGGACAATGAAGAAGGATTTTTGAGATAAATTTTCGATTTTGTGATAAACTCGTAAATCCCAGCCGCATAATGATGCTGTGGCTGTGGGAAACGCAAAGAGAAAAACCAAAAAAATCTCCTTTTTTCGAGAAATGTTTGGAGTTGACTCTTTTCTTTAAACTGCTCATAGATTCGTTCAACCTTTCAATTTGATATTAGATTTACTGATGAAGTCCAAAAAGTCCTGACTTTTGAAAAAAAGGGAGTCTTTCTCAGCGCCATTTCACATCCTTTTCTAAAACAATAAAATTATTGATTAAAATTTTTCCAAGAAAATCACCAATACAACACCTGTGGTCAAAAAAAATGTGAGAAAAAGCCCCAAAACATGATAAAGTATCAAATCTTACAAGTGATCAGCTTTTTCTACTCTTAACTACTCTCCAGCTCTCCAACTAATCTTCCTCCTGGTCCTGGGCGAAGATGGCATAAGCCTTCCAATCATCAATCTTCACTCAAACAACGCCCCAGCCGTGTTAGGAATTATATTGACCTTATTTGGATTGCTGTTTTCTCTGCATCCATTCGTACAAGTGGAAGAATACGCCGTGGCGGAGAGTATGAAAAATATGGTGAGTTACTTGAGACCGTCTGACCCGTCTGCGCTCTCTTTTCTCTCATCTCTCAGACTGAAACATGAGAGAGAAGAGAGCACAGAGAAAGAAGACAGAAGGAAGACAAGAGAAACAATTCAAAAATGCAGGAAGACGACGAGAATTATCCAGAACCGGATCGAATCGCAATGTTCGTTTGTGTATTGACAAGATATGTCCAGCATTTTACGCAAATCGGCTTGGAGACGTAAGTTTCAAGAAGTCAAAAAGCGCGGCCGCATTTGGAATGGCTGAAAACGTTGACTTGCAGCTTTATGCTTTCCGATGCTCTTGCGCGAAAGTTGTTTTGGGTCGGGCGGTTAATTTTGAAAGAAATGCGAAGATGGTGGGGTTCTTCCAGCTTCTAAACTTAAAAACTTGAAAAAATTTACTATTTTCAACAAAAATCGATTCTTTTCGATATGAAAACAAATTTTCAACAGAAAAAAGGGGTTTTTCATATTTTGGCTGGAGTAATTCTTAAAAGGGGCGGAGCCTGGCAATTACCTGATTAAAAAAATTTTTGAGTTGTGCAGTTGTTTTTGATGAAAGATTGAGCTCAAAAAAAGTAACCATTCTTTCAAAAAAAAAGGGGGTTAAGCCATTCCCAATGCGCCCTAGCGTCGAAAAATTTCAAAAGTTCTCGAATTAATAAAAAAAGGGGTTTAATGCTGATTATACCTTTTTTTCTTGTTGATTATCTCAAAGTTTATTATTTTCGAACCTTATTTGTTACCTTGAAAAAAACCTTTTAAAAAAATCGAAATTCAAGCCTCGCCCCAGTCTACATCATGATGATGTTCTCCGTCCGAAGGGAAGAGGCGGTCGGGACGATTTCTTCGATTTTCCTCGCCACTGGAGTGATCTCTTCGGCCCTTTACATCGCCATGATTTCCTCTGGGCTTTCCAGCTTGTAGTTTATAACTTTGCTCAAGAAAATATAAATCTGTTTCAGAATCAACACAAGAAAATGCAATATCGCTGTGCTTTTGGTGTTTATCGGTTACTTGCTCTCGACCTATCAGTGGCACTTTTTACAGCACTACGTTAAGCAATCGACTGCGGATGGTATATTGTTTAGTTCAAAAATTTTTCTTTTTAGGAAGAAAAAAACATATTTGGATAATTTGTAGTGGCCACGTTTTGACATTTTAGAAGCCACTATAGTAGTCAAATTAGTGGCCACTTAAGGGTTTAAAAGTTAGTGGTCACTATAGAGTTGTAAGTGCTGCTACTAGACCACTGAAAATTTTAGTGGCCACTTCAGGGGTCAATGGATCAACATAACTGGTCCAATCTGTTTTTTTAAAATTGTCAGAGTTAATGGAAGGAATACTGGATAAAAAACTACTTAAGTGGCAACTATAGAGGTGGGTTTAGTGGCCAATTTAGTGTCCTCTCCAATTATTCATTGGCGAGCCTCTATAGTGGCCTCTGAAAATTTTCCCAGTACTTCCAACATGTTTTCACTTCAAAACCGAAAATCTCCATTTTTTAACTGCTCCCATTTCTGAAAAAAAATTAACTTTAACTAGCTATATTGAGAGCTTTCTATGCAAACCACGGCTTTGAATTAAAATTTCTAAGCTTGAAAAAAAACTTGTAGCGCTGGGAATGGCTCGACGTCCGATGCTAAACTGCTTGCGCTAGTAGGACTAAAATCAGAATAGCTCATGGCAACGCGACGCTTAAAGCCATTCTCAGTGCGACCGCGACCCAATGAGAAAAATGAAGAAGTTGAGGTCTTGACGGAGGATGCGATTTCGCGAAGTTCCCCTGGTGTTGGGATTTGAATACTTCTTCGGAATGGGTTAGAACTATCATGAAATCCGGTTAAACTATCATTTCCAGGTATTTTTCGTTGGCTATATGATTTCTTTCGGCGCCTGCGTTCCTTTCTTGACCGTCACGGATGCGACTCTTTTTTCGAAGCTTCTGAACCCCTTGCAGCAGGTTTTGAATCCAAAAATGAAATATATAGTGGAAGAAAATCCATTAGGCAACTTGACTACGAATGCGCCCAAAAATTATCTAGAACTACATAATTTAGTACGATTTTGAGTACAGCGTTAGAAAAGCAAATAGGAACGACAGAGGGGTCCCTATAGGGGTTTAGGGTCTGAAGCATAAGTGGTCCCTATAACGTCTTTTAATTTTTGGTTCAGACTTGCGAATCAAAAAAACAAATTGATGAAAACTTCCTCTGTTGATGTTTTTATCCGAATAACGCTAATTTATTGAGTATATAGGGAGCACTTTGGAGTTTCTAAAAAAGGACCCTCTATTTTTTCAGAGAAAGCTTCCATGCTTTAAGGACAGCTTCTCAGTGAATGAAGTTTGAATGAAGGATTAAAAGATCTACTAGAAAAATAGAGAAAAATCGAGAAAAAAAATCTCAAGTTTCCGCTTTTCTAACCAAAGTTCAGACCGATAACATTATTAAAAAAATCTATTAATAATTTTTTTACTCAAAAAAAGAATAAAATAAAATGATCAAGTTTAAGGCCGCCCAACAAAGTCTATTCGATATTTCCAGTACATTCGCCAAAGTGGTCGCTCCAGTGCTTGTGACGTCAGTTTGATCTTTGCTTCTTTTTTTTAAATTCTTTTTCTTAATCTCTGAAACATCTATCTTTTTTTATTTCTGTAGTTTTTTGCAGGAGATGCTCTGTCAACCATCTTTCGCTTCGAAAAACTTAAAAAAGATTAAATTTTTGTATAACTTACGTAGGACTTCATTTTTTTGCCCATTGGGGTGGTTCTAAATAAATCTCCGCTTTGATAATCTAGAAGTTTCAAACTTGTCACTAACTAATCAAAAATTTATGGATATTCCATTTCCAGGGCGATCTACACTTACTACGGACCTCGACGGGTCTGGGAAGTCCTCCTAGTTCAATTAATAGTAACCGCGGGTTTCTGGATCGGTTTCTCCAAAAGAATGGTCCCATTGCATCCAAAACCTAGGCCTGTTTTCACACTTTGGTAGAAAATAATTCGAAAATTTAACTTTTTCCCCTTTTTTAAAATGACCTTCGTTTCATTTGACCCTAAGATTATTCAAAATTCTCACTTTTGAAGCAAATTTCTGAAAAATTTCAATGTTTTCATAACTCTTCTATGTGCAATTGGATGTATATATTGATTGTAATAAAACTTAATAATTGATGAAATATTGAAAATGGTAGTAAACTAAGAAAAAAAAAGAAAAAGAAGCATCTGACCAGGGATAAATTTGTTGGAATTGAGAAAAATGAAGAAGAGAGTGAGGTAAATGCATAGGGAGGCAGAGAAGATAGAGAAATATTTTTAAAGGGAAATTCTGGGGTTAATCATTGATTCATCAACAACCTGAGGAATATAGGAAAAAAAAAATAGTTCCCGCAAAAGTTTTTTTAAACGGTAGACGGAATAATGTGGCAGAAGTAGAGGTTTCAGACATTTTCACGATACCTCTTTTGTACAGAGGCAACATCTGAAGATTCGAAAAGCTGGCTAGTATTTTGTCTATCCAAAACAATTTAGAAGCAATGGCTGCCTGAAGAGAAATTAGAGAAGAAAAATAATTCTTACTCTCTGCGTCTCTCCAGGAAGTTTCTATTTCTCTTCCCTGCTTGGTTGCGATGTTTTATTCGAATTATGAATTTCGAGAATGGCTGTCCGCTGATCTCACTATCAGAGAAAGCTTTATTTTATTTAAATCGAAGGAAAAAATATCTACACTTTGAAGAAAAAAGCAAATTTATGAAAAAAAGCGGAAAAGAATGAAATTTATTCTGGACGGGTACGGCCACTCGAACGTTCCAATGTTTGTTTGACACCTTCCTTCCGTGGTCTGAAGTGGACTCTGGCGAAAAAATGAATAACTGGAATTGGAAGATGTGAAAAAAGGAAAAAAAAACGGATTCTAATTGAAACAAAAAGCTAAGAATGCCAAAAAATATTTAGATTGGTGTCCTTAAAATTTCATGACTTTCAGACGAAAGGGGAATGGAAAACGAAAGTTCGAGCTTCCTGGATTAAATTAATAGAACTTTGAAACAGTTAGTTGAGAGCCAACACAATTTTTTTTGCTCAATGTGTTTTTCTGGCAACCCTTCCAATTTTTTTCAGCTTCTGACCTCATCATAAATTTCAAAAGTCATTGAGTTCTGGAACTTTTTAAAGTTTCTTCAAAAAAAAAAAGCAATCTTTCCATTGTTCTAGACCCTTTTTTGTTTTTAAGAATGCCTGGACTCTGAAAACTTTTTTAATAACTTTGAAAGCCCCTCCATACAGAAAAATTTTTAATAAAGAGCAAAACTTCAAGAAAAGTGCATGTCTCGGACACATTATGGTTATGAGAATGAGAATTGCCTTTATGTGTGGCCAAGAAAAATGCTTTTTTTCTAACGTTCTAGTGTTCGAATTACCTTCCTCAACGAGTTTCTCATACAAACAGTATATCCTTTTTTAGAAGTCCCCGAAAATCGAATGAGACCTCCTTGGGGGCCGGCTTTGCCCTTTTTTGGGGACGACAAATTGCTTTTGAAGAAGAAAGGGAGAAGCGTTCCGAGCCGCTGCAACTAAATGAATCTGCTCATTTTCTTTTCTCTCATTGCTTTGCCTCCCGAAAAAGGAGGAAAAAATGCAACCGCTGACACATCCGCTGGAAAAAGAGAAGAAGTACTTTTTCTCGACGCAGCAAGTTTTTTTTTGCCAAAGAACAACAAGAATCAACGAAAGTTTCGGCTTGTTGCACGTCGTACGGTGGTTTGAAAAATCGCAGACACTTGCGCGATGTTCCCTCGGTATTTAATAACACGCGCATTTTTTTATGTGTTTTTTTAAAAATTTCTTTCGTATTCTTTCGACTCATATCTTTTACTTGATGAGTATGGGCTTTTCTTAGGAGTAAATTAGCAGAAAATTTTGGTTTGACTCAAATTTTCTGTCTCCATCAAAAAAATAACTAGTATGCTCGTCTGGTTTTCATTATTTCAATTTCACGTTTCATTTGTCTCGTTTCCTACTTTTTTCACTTTCCTTTTCAGGTGACTTGTCGAAATGAAGCAAGATTATAAAAACGCGTTTTCAGTGAGATCAGCGATGTCGAAATAGTCACGAAAAAAACAACCGATTCGATTGGATAGAGGTACTTTTATATTTTATTTCCACTTTTAAATTATGGGCGAAATTGTTCAGAACTTCATTATGGTGAACAATAAGTTCCTAAATTATAGAAATTATAGTTTTCTGCTGGAAAATACAACTCTCTGCAAATAATCCAAGTGTAATCCCCCATATGTTCGTGTGAAAAAGTGCAAAACAGTTTAGACAACTTGTTTCTATGGGCATTTCATGGTTTTCAGCGAATTAACTTTATTTTTGTCTGTAGAGAAAAACCGATATTCTTTTTCGAGCAATAGCAGAAAGGAGAATCTTATAACTTCTGCTGGAGGCGTTTTTCAAGCTGTTTCCACTTGAGAAATGGAAAATTAACGATTCCGAACAGAGTCTTTGGAATATTTTGTACGTTGTTTCTTTCCAGGAAGTTCGCTTTGAAAATTTCATTGACCAGTTTTTTTTGCCCAATTTTGGACCTTTTTTTCTCATTTTAAGGTAAGGATTTTTTTTTACTCCCGCAGTTTTGTCTTAACAAGCCCATTTTTTGAAATGTTCTGTTCAATTTTTCGAAGTTTTCCAGTCAATTTTCCAATTCTTAAAATTTGAAGTTGATAAGTCCAACTGATTCGATTCAATATAACTTTTTTTTTCATTTTTAAACGATATTTGTGTCAGTTTTCAACGAAATTTGAAAACTATAGAAACTATGAAGTTTATTCGCTTGTCAAAACTATCCCGAATATTCCCAAAAAAGGTCTCAAGTATCAATTTTCTAAAAATCTGTCAGAACAATCCTTATAGTACTAAAAAGGGATTCTGAGAGCCTCAAGCTGCACAACATCCTAGTTTTTGAGAAAATTTGTGCACAAAGTCAGTCGAAAAGGCCATTTTTGTAGCTTCGAAGCTTTTTCTTGAAGTCTGAGAAGTTGTGCAGATTAGGACTTTTAAGACTTTAATTTGGATATTTTGCCAAATTTTCAGAAAGTTCCCAATCGCAAAGTTAAACGATCTCCCTTGACTTGTGTGTTTTCGGGAAACTTTTAGAAGTTTTTCTTTTTGTTCAACCTTGAGAAATATATGAAATGCCTGTCGACGTGATGAATGTCAACACTGGGCGAAATTCATTCATAAACGTGACAGAAAGCATCGATCATCGGACACGTGTGTCTGTGCGCGAAAAAGATCAAACCTAAGCAACTTTCCTTTGTTTCTTTGTTGTCCGGTCCGGCCGGCCGTGTCGTAACTTTCGAAGGATGAGTGAAGAAATGAATAGAGAGATTGACTTTTCCGTGTCTGGCACTTGAACCCGTTAATCTGAGCCTTTTTGAGCCTACAAAATGAACTAAAACTTAAAAAAAAAAAATTAAGCCTGACGGTAATTTTCGGAAAATAAGAGGTACCTCTCACAAGGAAAGTCTTCAAAAGGCGAAATTTGGAAATTCTTATCATTCCGCTAGGAATATCTTTAAATATATTGATGGAAATCCAAGTGTTCAAATATTATTGTTCAAAGTACACGAGAAAATTTATTTCCGTTTTCGAAAAAGATAATTTTCGAGAGAGCTTTTTTGAAAATTTTAAAAGGGCGCGTGGGTGTTTTGTGTCTAACCATTCTTGCAGCTTTCTTTTAATCTTGTTTTCGAAATACCCCATGAGAAAACTAGCAAAAAGTTTAAGAGTTTTAAAAGGAATTCTGAAATCTTTGAGTTTTAATGGAAGAACAAATGTATAAAAGCTATAGTCGGAAGCTCTTTATTGGTTTCAGCTCCGATCTTTTCAATCCTGTAATTTTTTCTCATCTTTCAACACGATTCTAAGAACTTCATTTTTTTATCGGTTTCTATTCATTTGAAAATAAGATGATTCAATGAACCAGAATCAACCTTTCTCTATTTGTTTCAGGAAAAAAACTTGGTAAATTTTTTAGGTTCAATATAGCGATTTTGGTTTTGCCGAGTAGCCAAAAAGTCTTTAAATATATTCGGATACTAAGTTTTTTTTTAGTCATTCAAAGTTCCTATTTTTTTTATAATCCAGTGAAGATTTCTTCAGTTCACACCCCTTCACGCATCGAAATAGCTCTGTTATTGGGCCTCATATAATTTTTCAAGGATTTTTTGGTTTCTCGGTCCGTTCCCAGGTCGTTAGGACATGGTTTCAATATGGAACCTTCTGAAAGTGCAACTGCTCGGCCCATGGGAAAGCGCAGAAATTGCGTAAGAAACGCATTGGAACTCCCTTTCGAGGCGCTGGTTTCGGAAAGAAACCAGGGCCGGTGGCGTAACTGGCGGTGCCTTCTCTTTTGTGCCGTCGTCTGGGGCGACGTGTACTTTTATAAAGGAGATGAAGATCTTAGGTTGTAAAATGGTGGATTTTTAGTTTCATGGGAACGTGTTGTATGAGAAAGGGTTGAAAAACAGAGCTTTTCCAAAATATTAAATTAGTTCAGTTGTTTCGAAACACATTATGCTCTGTTTACGCTATTTTTCGAAGTTTTCGTCCTTTGAAACGCAACTTCTACCTTGGAACAAGAAAGAAAAATCCCTAAAGATCCCTCAAAAATGTCTCCTTGGAGGGCAATAAAATGACACGGCGGCGCCATTCTGAAAAAGGACACGAACTAGTGGAGAAAAGGAGATTTATTTTGCGCCCGACGTCGTTCGGTTTTGATGTGTCTGTGTTGTGTTGCAAATACGAGACTTCGTGGGTGGTCCTCAGACGAACTTTTGACGACGACGTTTTTCGGCGATTCCGAGAGCTCATCATGGTCTTAGTTTATACGAAAAGTAGGATTTACGGCGAGTTTTTCTGTTCCTCTCGTGGTGTTCGGTTTTGTAGTTCCCTTTGTGGGAGGTCTGTAGAAAAAAAAGGGCAAAAAGATTG